TGTCAGTTTCGGATCGGTATGTCAGTCCTTTCGAATATTTCCGAAACCCACAGAATTTTATGAGATGCCATCTGTAACAGACTGACTGCGTATGTATTTTCTTACAGTTATCGACATCAACTATACACAGCAATTAATTAATAGTGTTTGGGATGCGGATGATGCAGGAGAAGCAAATTTATTGACACGAGCGAAAGCGTATCTCAAATAACAAAAACTGACGTCACTGAAGGTGAGAAAATTCGCGAAGGTAAATCCTTGCATATGGTGTTCCAAACGCAAATCTGGTCTATCACATATATAAAGCTAAAGTACCTAACGCACATCGTACGTACACACGAAAGACCTGGCCACTGGGAATTGTACGACACGTTCGGTAACTGAAGACAGCCCGTTTTCGTGCTTCTTTATCGAATACCCTACCAGGTTATACTACGTCAACATCACGACCATCCACATCGTTCGAATATCTGACGAACGAACGTTACAAGAAATTCTCACAGTAGTCATTTTGCTGTTCAAGAAATCCCCTACTTTCATGGCATGTAAACTAATACCACGTTCATTACAGTTCGCTGTTGTGCAATCTATTCTGAGCCAATTAAACCCAATTTACATCTTGGCAACCAGTTTATTTAATATCAAAATCAGGTCCATGAATCCCATTTTTATAGCAAAGTGAGATATCAGTTTCTCACAGTGGTGAGGAAGGAGATTGCTCTGAAACGTCGGTAAACTCTACCAGACTACACGGCGCAACCCAGAAGACAGCCATCTTCATATTAAGAATCGCCCTGATGACGGAGGCAGTATGACCTCTGAAACGTTGGTTATCATCGACCAGACTACACAGCGCAACAACCCAGAAGACAGAAATCTTCATACTCATCGCCCTGATGACGGAGGCAGTATGACCTCTGAAACGTTGGTTATCATCGACCAGACTACACAGCGCAACAACCCAGAAGACAGAAATCTTCATACTCATCGCCCTGATGACGGAGGCAGTATGACCTCTGAAACGTTGGTTATCATCGACCAGACTACACAGCGCAACAACCCAGAAGACAGAAATCTTCATACTCATCGCCCTGATGACGGAGGCAGTATGACCTCTGAAACGTTGGTTATCATCGACCAGACTACACAGCGCAACAACCCAGAAGACAGAAATCTTCATACTCATCGCCCTGATGACGGAGGCAGTATGACCTCTGAAACGTTGGTTATCATCGACCAGACTACACAGCGCAACAACCCAGAAGACAGAAATCTTCATACTCATCGCCCTGATGACGGAGGCAGTATGACCTCTGAAACGTTGGTTATCATCGACCAGACTACACAGCGCAACAACCCAGAAGACAGAAATCTTCATACTCATCGCCCTGATGACGGAGGCAGTATGACCTCTGAAACGTTGGTTATCATCGACCAGACTACACAGCGCAACAACCCAGAAGACAGAAATCTTCATACTCATCGCCCTGATGACGGAGGCAGTATGACCTCTGAAACGTTGGTTATCATCGACCAGACTACACAGCGCAACAACCCAGAAGACAGAAATCTTCATACTCATCGCCCTGATGACGGAGGCAGTATGACCTCTGAAACGTTGGTTATCATCGACCAGACTACACAGCGCAACAACCCAGAAGACAGAAATCTTCATACTCATCGCCCTGATGACGGAGGCAGTATGACCTCTGAAACGTTGGTTATCATCGACCAGACTACACAGCGCAACAACCCAGAAGACAGCCATCTTCAACCCCCCCGCCGTGAAAACCTCAAATACTACAACAGTCTACATCTTAACGAAATACGGTGGGAGAGCGTGAATTGAATTCACGTGGCTCAGAACAGGGTCAACTGACGCGCACTTGTGAACACAGTACTTCTTGCCTAGCTGGGCGACTGTCAGCTCCACAGATTAAACTGGGGGTTAGCAGACCTATGGCCTACTTCGTTCCTATGACATTATCTCATTTTTAAATTGCAGGTAAGGACCACCGGTATTGCCTTCCATATAATCAAGCTATGAGCGTGATTCTTCGCTCCACTGTACAGTGGGCTCTCAGATCGACCCCGATAACGAGACTTGAAGGTCAGCAATGTTGAGCCTGCGCAACCCTTGTTTTGCTGTTGGTCTTTGTGCAGGTTCCTTTGTACAAGAGCCGACGTTTCATATATTAAATTTTATGGCCACAATATTTCACATCCCTGCGCTGCACGTATGTGGGCTTTATTATGCTGACAGAAAGTTGCGGTGTAGTGGTTGGCACTCCTGAAGGAACCTTATTCGAAACTTCCCTCAGAGAGACCGAAACGTTTCGCGGTTGTCCTCAGCTCCCCCGAGAAAACGCAGCAGTTTACCTTCCGAATCAATGATTTGTAACCATTCTGTCATTCGACGTTTTACCAATACAGCTGATAAGTGACACTGCACTATTGCACTTTACTACACTTCCGCAGTTACCATTTACACTATGATCAATGACCAGTGTGACTTCTGCCCTTTTGTCTGATTAGCTTCGAAATTTCAAGGCTGATTAGCAAAAGAAGAGAGCAGCGTTTATGTGGCGCGATAAATGCTGTGTTTGTGTGAATATGTTTCACCTAGTAGATGTCGAATAAAGTGACAGTTTGTCATGGAACCCAGTTGAAAAGTCATGACACGTGTCACTAACAATAAGACGACATAACTTACAAATTCGAAGGATACTGGAAAAAATATGAGTCACATTGAGGTTATCTTATCACAAACAAAAATGTTTACCTATGTGATCACACAAAAGTGGTATATCCAATAGCGATAGCGTATAAATCCTTTACGTAGATAACGGCGAGTTTTAGGGCGGTATCGCACTAGGATGCCATGGCAGCGACACCAACAGCGATGCCATGGCGTCCAGCTGCCAGAAAAAGACGCCAGACAAGCTGCCAGCTTTCGACGCCAGTCGAGCGAACAGATGGATCAACATTATGGGATCACGAAATGAAGGGCTATTAGCAAGGAGAAATGTCCACTTTTATCACTTTTGAGAAAATGAGATTTACCTTTATCAAAACTACATACCTGGAGTAAATTTCAATTCTGTAACAAAGAAATGAGTAAAAAAAATTCTCCATACACACATTTTGCACGTCCATACCATTATTGAATTTGAAATATTTCAGTTCTTGCAAATCACATGTAATATTACATGAACAAACTTTATTTAATAAAACATTATAAAAGCA